CTAATTATAACAGAAAACCCATTGTCCACACAAACTCTGGATGTTCTCCATGTCTGGGGTAGAGGTAATAGGATATGCTGTGGCTATACAGAAAGGTAAAGCCCTGTGGCAGCTCCTTATCCCTAACCCTTCAGACCAGGCCATTGCCCTTAGAGACGCCTGCTATGCTTTGCATCCCCAGTGCACCCTGGAGGCCCTGTTCCTGGACTTTCCTTTAAAGCCCTCACTCTGACACTTGGAGAGAAAGATCAGAGAGGTGCTCATTGGTTGGTCTCATAAATTCTACAGACCTTTTCAGAAGGAAACAGATTCCTAAAGACAGGACTACCTGTACACTTTTACGGAACACCCCCCTATCACCTCCCTTAGTCTTATTTAATAGCCTTATTAACCTTCCCCTTTCAAAATTTCAAGTACATTGCTATGACAAATATCCCTTTAAAAATAAAGCTCTCTATTTAAGGAAATGTTAATCAGCTAAAAGAAACAAAGCCAATTAGTTACATGCTGTTAGTTTTGTTCACCACGCGACACATTTTCTTGATGTCCACAGAAGCAGCTTATTAATTAGAATTAAATTAGACAAATGGCACTCTCATTCCTCCTCTTCTCTTTTGGAACATGTGACCATTTCTGTGAATCTGTTTTTAGCAATTCTCAGTTAGCCAGCCACGTTACTTCAAACCTGAGTTGTCTTCTTAGCCTTTAAGAATTTCTCACAAATTCCTTTCTTCCATGGATGTTACTAGTAGACGTCAGCGGCTGTCCCCTGTCAACCTCTAGCTCTACTTAATATAGGGTACTAATGGGGGGATTTCATCCTCAGGAGAGCAGATGTTAAGGACAGTCCAGTTTGCTGGTTTTGGCTGGTTCTCTCCTCTAAATTTAATAGCCATAGAGCACATTGAGCTTATCACCTTGTCTTTAGAGAGCCTAGGAACTTGGAACATGATATGCATCAAAATATGTCAACCATAAGACACAAAGGGACCATGCATTGGTTATACTTTAAGAAACAATCTAACTTCTTAAAAGCAAAAATCAATCTGCAGCCTGTGGCTTCTCTTGAGCTGAGTAGAAAATAATAATCTACTAACTTCCCGGAGCTACTGTCTGCTCCGCGAGAGCATCCTGAGAATGCACAATCTTTGAAAACAGCAAGCACGCCTGGCAGACACGTTCAAGAATGTCAGCCATGCCTCCATCTGACGTGTGTGCATGTGTGGCTTTCCATTTAGAAAATAGACTTTCTGGGTTGAATAGTAATTTGACCTCTGCAGCGTTTGGCATTAGTCTAATAAAAGATCATACTCCTCACTTGTCAAAACCGGCTTGTGCAGAGATGCATGTTGCACAGCGCAGTGTTGAGGGTGTCAGGTGGATAGCACAGCAGTTAGCCTCATAAGGGAAGGATGCCTCGCTAGACTCTGGTGAGTGGAAGGCTCTAGGGCTTTTCTCCCCATCTTTGCTCTCCTGCTACTTCCTTTTTTCTTAGACCAGAGGTTCTCAGCCTGTGGGTTGTGACCCACAGGAACTGTATTAAAGGGCCGGCATCAGGAAGGTTGAGAACTACTATCTTAGACCATATGTAATAGGGATGATCATACTCATGAAACAAGGATGGGGATTTTCATTATTCAGATCTGAGGCTGTCCTATGTTGTGACTTTTTAGTAGGTATCTTTGTTTTTTCTTTAATTCTCTTCCTTTTCTTCCCAATTTCAGAGCAGGACTTATATCTGGGCGGTATCTGTGACAAAAGGCAGAGGATTGATCTGGTTCCTTTTATTAACCTGAGATACAGCGAAGGGGAAGTGGGTGCTATGTGTTGTCATACCCCTCTGAGAATAAAGGTTTTCCCTTGCCTTGAGCATTTGTTGGAGTTATTCAATTTAATCTTTTCTCTATATTGTATCTTTCCTTTGGCTGGCTGCCTCGCCTTGATAGCATCAGTCTGAGAATTTGACCAGCAAAGATGATGATTTATGCAACTCACATGCTTACTGAAAGGATTTTATTGTATTATCTAGAATCTTACGTTGCATCATAGAATGATGACTCTTATCCTTTCTGTGGTTTGGATTTTACCGGGAAATGTAAGAAAATGGTATCAGATCCTATAAGAAAGTCATGATTTTCTTGTCTACGAAGGCCAATGTCTTTCAGTCGGTTAATTTTATTACTTGACTTGATTCTCAGAAATAAAATCCTGCTGTAGCATCCAGTGGTCACGTCTCTGGCACATTCTTATACTTGTCAATATTAGCATGAAAATGTCAACATATGACCAGAAAATCAATGAGAAACAGGCCTGGAAAACATGGGACTGATACTCACACCTCTTCTCCAAATATCCAGGAATCTATCTGCTCTGCTTTTTATTTAGAAATAAGATTTTGATGGTTAATAGTAATTTGAGTTGGTGTCCTTACCCACCAGTTTTTTCCAGAAACGCTTTCTAACCTAGACCCTTACATGGCACTGGGATGTAAACAGCACTTGTCTAAGTAGCCATTGGTTATTTGCAGACTGTCAGAATCTTCACCTTCACCTTATTGTTTGAGATGAGAATGGGATGCTATTTCTTAAAAAATTAATCTCTGTTCAGAAAAAGAGGTATCCTACCTCTAGCTATATTTAATTTCTGATCAACACACACTCATTTCCTATAACAGCCCCTTCCTCCCTCCACATATTCTTGTAAGAAATTTCAAACCAGAATTTCAGTGGGAAACTGGGTTGTTACAATGGATTTCCACTCAGGGTTGACAACTGTTGCACTACGGAAAATGAAAGAACTTTACCTAAAAAGGGCAGTATTGTACCATTTAATATAGCAGTGCAATGCATTTTGTTTTTTCCCAGGAAAATTTTCTAGAAATTTTAATTGCATGATTATAACTTCTGTATTAGATGCTGATCAGCAAGTAGTTATTATCAATTTGCATTGTTTGAAATAGCCAAGAGAGAACTCTAAAACTGGTAATGTTTTTGTTTGATTGCTTTCAGAAAAGTGACACCAATATGGGGGTCTTTCTTATTCATTTTACTGTTGATCAATTTCAAATTATTTTAAGTACTTCTGACAGCTTCTGGTAATCATCTAGTTTGTACTTGGGCCCCGAGGTGCTATGGAATGTGGTATCCAGCAAGGTTGTAAGAGTGTGCCTCCTTCCCTAATATTTCTGAACATAAACAGGACCCCATGTTCCCACCAGTCCCACCAAGTTGCATTTGCTGATGAGGTGGAAAATCATCCCCCAGGACCAATATTGCAAAGATGCTTTTCCTAAAATTCTCTTCTTATAGAAATAACATAGGAAGCTAGAAAACCTTAAAAGTAGAAGAGATTTCTACAAAGGAATTTAGTTCATATCTCATTTTTTAAAGTTAAGGAATGATGAAGTTAGAAGATATTTTTTTTTCTCCAAGATCATTATTTATATGTGATAGTGCAACTGAGATGGGAATCCAGCTTCTTTGACTCCCAAAACACCAAACTGAGAGTCAGAACATATTACCCCACCCCCACCCCCAGCAGGAGGACCACCTGGGAAACATGAATAACAGCAGAAGGAACAGTGGTGTGGAGCAGACAAGGACGGACTTTGTTAGTACTTTCTCCTTTCTTAGAATCTAACGACTGTTTTCAGAACCGATTTTAGATTTGATTACCTGCAACCATTTTTCAATGACTGAAACCACAGTAAGAGTGAATAAAATGTCTGTAACAAGAATCAGAAAATGGGAGATAAAATGGAAAGGGTCCAAGGTTCGGGGGTTTTAAACATTTCTAACTATAACATAATACGGTAAAAATGTAAGGATATAAGACAGATGTCAAGTAGCAGGAAAAATAATTGAAATACCAACATTAATGTTTAGTTTGTCAAATCTCTCTGTGTGTGTGTGCGCACTACACGCACGTGTGCTTTTTTCCTTATCTGCTATTCCTTGGTTCTAATTGTGTATTAGACTTTGGTGGGAACTCATCAAATCATCAGTCTTTCTCATGTCATATGATACAAACTCCATGACATTCACTACTTCTCAGATGTTCCATCATTCTGTCATAGTTTATTTCATTATCCATGTCTATATTATTTGTCATTTAGGCTACTTACAGTTTCTTCTGAACAAATGATTTGGTGAATATCTTGGTGAAAAATATTCATCTACACTTTATATCATTCTTGTACGCTGTATTTCTAGATCATGAAATACAAGATGGAAAATAAGCAAGTTTTGAAGAAGAGAGGCGGGAACATTAGGCACATTTAAAGGAGATGGAGGGTATTTAAAAAACTTCCAACTTCTATCTGTCCGACTACATCTTTCTTTAAAGAAATGCTTTTCTCAGCTATGACTCTGGAGGCTTCTACAATCATCTTCTCTTATGCAAAATGTGGTGTTAAGTTTCAAGGCAGCCCCAAAATATCTGGGTTAGAAAGTCACTTTACCATTTCCCCCCTATTTCTATTTTGCTCCAGACTTTCTAATTCAGGTCTATATTTCTTGTCTCTTTAAAATTTCCTAGCATTGCTCTTAAATGTCACTAATTTTAACAGCTCAGCAGTGGCAGTGCTGCTTCCTGGCAGTGTCCTGATAGTGGCATCAAAGCAAAGAGCTAAAATTTTACTTACTTTGATTGATGAGCTCATTTTGTTACAGAGGACAAATTGGATTTTTTTTTATACTGGTAATAAAAATTAATGTGTGATGTTGCTTTTCGGATGTTATTGGATCTCTACCTTAATACAGATTTTAGCAATAAAAGCACTAACAGATAACTTGACCAGAAAATTACTTCCTTCCCCTTTAAACTACCCTCAAAAATAAAGGTTGCTTTTCTCATTCTGTAATCCTAGTACATTTTTCTATGTATGTGTGTATTTATTGGTGGGAACGGGGTTGAGGATGGAGGAGAGAACAGGGAAGTAGGGAGATAGTCTGTATTTTAAGTTTCTATTTAATTATGATTTTTTTTTTTTTAAATTTCAGCACCTCCAAGGTTTACACGAACTCCCGTTGATCAGACAGGGGTTTCTGGTGGAGTTGCCTCTTTCATTTGCCAAGCGACGGGAGACCCAAGACCTAAAATTGTCTGGAACAAAAAAGGAAAGAAAGTCAGCAATCAGAGATTTGAGGTATTAGGTCCATTGTTCTGTTTCTCTGGGGGAAGAATGCACCTGCTCTGCCTTTGGTTTGTATGTTCCTTGCTTGCTCTACTCTGATGGAAGATGTCATAATCACCAAGACAGGACGGTCTTTATTTGCAAGTGATGGAAAACTTCAAATGGCTTTTTAAAAAAGGAAATCTGGGGGTTCAAGTGGCTGTGCCAGGGCTCAGCGTTCCCAGTACCCATCTGCCAACTTCGTCCGCAGGCTGTTTCCCTTAGGCTTACAAGATGGAGCTGCACATCCTCACGGGAAGGACCAGCTCTGGAGGATGTGTGAAAGCTTGTCTCTCCCAGAAGCTTCCTGTCCCACTGGCTCTAATTAAGTTACATGTTTATCCTTGAGCAGATCTGAGTGGACAGGTGGATGGTATAGGTTAATTAATTGAAACCAAACAGAGTCCACCACTGTGCTGGGAAAGGAGTTGGGCTTAACAGTGGTTCTCAACCTTCCTAAAACCACGGCCCTTTAATACAGTTCCTGTGGGTCGCGCCCCAAAGGTTGAGAACTGCTAGCTTAGAATGAGAGAGAAGAGGGTTTTCCTATAGGAAACTCAAATGCCTCAGTAAGAAGAAGAGGAATAGATGCTGAGTGTAAATGAAGTGGTCCACCACACCTTGCACCAGTGTTTTACAAGTAGTGCGAACTCAAGTGAGAAATTTGCCCTAGTAGCTTAGTGTGAAGTACTACAGTGCTCCAAAATAAACACCCAACCAGGCTGGTATTGCAGACAGACGTATGGGAGCAATTGATTTTCTTTATTCAAGAAAGCTCAGTGCATTGAACATGATGAAATATAAATCAGAGATTCTTTTTTGAGTGTTTGTGAGGAGCCCTATGGTTTAGAAATTTGCTCATTCTGCAGTAAAAGAAATAGCAATAAGCTACAGAGAGAAGGTGTGGGAGAAAGATATAGTGTCACGCATCTGATTTACAACAGGAAGAGAACAGCTGGACTTGAGGGGCGTCAACACTCCTAAAGTGCCCCAAATTATAAAACCCACTTCAGTTTTACCTGAACTTCTAATCTACATTTTGGTGAATTCACAATTTGGTACATTAAAGGCCATTTCTGGTTAAAAGAATTATAGCAACTACAACATTCAGAACAGATTAATTTTACATATTTTCAGAGGATTGTACAGGGTGGCGTAGGGTTCAAATGGTGAAGTTAGAAATCTGGACTATAACTTACAATTAATAAATGTGAAATTGTGTTTGTTTGAAAATCAAAAAAAATTATTGAAGGATAAAAATAATATCCTTATCTTTGAGAAATGTTTCCCATTTCATGTAGAAAATAATGTATACATAGTATGTCCAGGTTTGGTGTACATTCTTTTTGTTTGAATTTAAATGAAGTTGATTTTTACTAAAGAGGAGTTTGCTAGAGACAATGACTTCTTGACAAAATCTTTAACAAGACTAAATTATAATACTAAATATCTGAAAGTATGATCTCTGCTCAGTGTATAATTCGTAGTGAGAATCATATAAACACATCCAGGGAAAATTAATTATTTTTACACAAAGTACCTTCATCAAATAGTGTCAAATTTTAGGATGAAGATTTTTACTATCTAATAATAGCATATGTAGCTTGTGATTTCACTTCAGTGTCTCTAAGACCCCCTAGAGCAGTAGATGAGATTGTTTTGCTGTTTTTCTATCTCAGGTGCCAAATATGGTATCTGGTCTATAATAGGCATGTGATTCATATGGACATTGAATAAGACTTTCAAACTAGAAATTATAACACTAACTTGAAATAAGTATTATATTATAGTTTTTGTATGAAAATAGGCCTAAATCCAGAAATAATTTAGAATTTTAAAAATATAAGGACATTTAACAATAAATTAGTAAAAGTTTAAGTTGGTATTAAAGACATTCAAACCTTTCACTACAGGGCCAGGCTCTTATGCTTGTAATTTCAGCCCTTGGGAGGCTGAGGAGGATGGATTGCCTGAGCTCACAGGTTCAAGACCAGCCTGAGCCAGAGTGAGACCCATGTCTCTAAAAATAGCTGGGCGCTGTGGTGGGCAGCCACTTGTGAGGATGAGGCAAGAGAATCGCTTAAGCCTAAGATTTTGAGGTTGCTGTGAGCTATGACACCATAGAACTCTACCAAAGGTGACAAAGTGAGACTCTGTCTCAAAACAAAACAAAACCAAAAAAAAAAAAAAAAAAACCACAAAAAAACTTTCTCTACATTAAAACGTGAGAAACCCATAAATAATATTTTTCTTTAAAAAATAGAGTATAATGGACAGAAATGCCAATAATTATATTACTTTGTTGTTGTTGTTGTTGTAGTTTGGCTGGGGCCAGGTTCGAACCCCTGCCACCCTCAGTATATGGGGCTGCTGCCCTACTCATTGAGCCACAGGTGCTGCCCAATTATGTAACTTTTATATTATAAAATGCATAGTAGAGTCATTTTAAAATAGGTACTTAATAGAAGTAAAAATAAAATGTGGCACATTGAGAAATGGGGCATTTTGGATTTCTTCATAAATTTTGAACATATGAACGGAATGCAGAAAGGACTGAAAGTGAATATATTTTTAAAATATTCAGTCTCCTTCCTCTATGTTAACATACACACACACAAAATATGGGATTTAGCATTCTATAAATACATGTATGAGGCATTCTCAATTTATTCACCATTTAGGCACACGGGCATATTATTCACAGGGAAATGCAAGGAAAAAATCACATTATCTCAGTGAGCTGAAGAAGTGTAGGATAGTTATAGAAAAGACAGGTAGAGGGCTACCCAGCTCTGGATACATATTAATAAGTATCATCCTGATTATCATCTGTTTTTTTAAAAAAAGTAGTACTTAAATTAGTTGACAAGTGCCTAGGAGTATTAGGGGCGCTAAACGGTTTTTGGAGAAGAGTTCATAATGATGGTGAGTTCAGGCGTAGTGTTTAGGACATTAATTTTCTGCCTGGTGAAGCAAACCTCCACTTTACAGCAAGAATGCTCTAAAAATGCAGGAAATGTTAAGCTAGAACAAATACTGGAATGATTTATGACAAAATTAATGCACGCCATCAGGCTCTTGGGTTGTGAAAACCGTCTCATTGGCTGCCTGAGTACTAGATTTATGCAGTCTCTCTTCGTGGTTTGCTCATCTGTACTGTTCAGGATGAGACCCTTGCAGCCAGGAGAACTATCTGTGGTGGCGCGTATTAATTCTTCACCTCACAGTCCACTTACTGCACGGACCCACTTGTGCATGTGTACTGCCAGAGAAAGAATAATTGGAGAAGTTTATCCATCATTGCTACAAGTCTCTTGAGAAATTAATGGGGTCAAATTACCTTAGATGTACTTACTAGAATATTTTTATGAGTAGAGCCCAGGCGGTTTTTGGTAGAAGGTAGAAATCTACATTTTTGCATATGTGGTTTCATGTCTTTCTCTTTGTTCCATAGATTGTTCATTAAATGAGACCAACTATTCTGTTTCATCACTGTATCGATAATCAGTTTTAGAATGATTCTGAACTTATTCTGAGCCTCGTGACTGATTCACCACTGCATTGAGAAGTTTAGTTCAGAGGTAGACGATTGTAACAACACCTGTGACAGCTATCGTTTCCTCTAATAGGTAATAGAGTTTGACGATGGATCTGGATCAGTTCTCAGAATACAACCTTTAAGGACTCCGCGGGATGAGGCCATTTATGAATGTGTAGCCTCAAATGTTGTGGGAGAAATAAGTGTATCCACCAGACTCACAGTTTTACGTGGTAAGTGCTCAAGTGGAAGTCTATGTGTGTCACTATCATAATTCTATATCTTCAGTGTTCTTCTGTAGGGCTATTAAAAAAACTAGCATTGTCATGATGCTTAAATGGGAAAGGAAATTATATATTTAATTAGGTAGTGGCCAGCTTTTCTTCTTACGGGCCTTGAAGAAATGCTAATCAGGAAAAGAAAAGCCAAAAGACAATGTTGATTTCAAATGCCAGATACCATTTTGCTTTTTAGTAGAGAACCTAGGAAGGAAACAGCGGATGCTGTTCTTTTGTATGTTCTGTGTGCCTGGATTTTTTATGCCTTGTTCAGCAGCTATGTTCTGCAAACTACCAAAGATGACACTGATGTTGGCAAAATTAAAGAAACAACCTCAACCTAATGATGAGCTTCTCTTAAGCAGTCGGTCTGAGCCAAGAATAAGAAGGCATCTTTCTTAGTTATGTCAAAAACCGTTTTTATTTCCGTCTTCTATCTTTCCTGAACCAACATAGATGCAAGTGAAATGGGAGAATGAATCTGTTTCTCTGTCCCTGACTAGGTTGCTTACACAATTTGACAAAGCATAAGATGACTTGCCAAGTCTCCAGGACAGAGTGTTCACTTTCTAGACTCCTTTATAACGGCAGTGCTAGAGAGTAAATGCTACTGACTAGCACTCCGTTGTATACCTCTAATTCAGTCTTTTGTGTAGAGGTCAGAACATCGCCTGATTTGGCACCTAGAAGTTGACATTTCCAGATTACCACTTCTTTGCCTTTATCTCTTTCTCCCTCAAACACTTTTGTTTTGTTTTGTTTTGTTTTGTTTTGCTTTGCTTTGAGCTTCTTTGTGCTCTATTCCAGAATTTAGGAGAAAAGAGGAAAGGGAATTGGAAAACGGGTTTCAGAATTGTAGAGGAACTTATATGGATTAAGAACATTTATAGTCTATTCATTTTCCCAGGGAGGGGAGTATTGATTTTGTTTATTTTACAAAATCAAAAATATTTTCCTTTCAAGTCTATTTGGTTCCACATGTTGGTCTTCCCTAAGAAGGTACACCCTATTGATATTTTCCACAAGCTACGTATTTGGAGGTAGACAGTAATTAGTGATGTAGGCCAAATTTAATTGCCAGATTTGACATTTAAGAAAACATCCCCCCAAAATATCTTAGAAGTAATTAGTTAATACAAGAAGCTAAGAAAATGAGATTATATCCTTAAATATGTTTAAAAGAATATGAACACCTTACTAAGTTGCAAGGAAAATATTGATGATTTAATATGTAGGATTTTCTGAAAGTCACCCCTGAAGTTACCATATATAGGGAAAATAAGAAATAGGAGCTAAATGTACCTTTATTTACAAAGTATTTATTATAAAATATTTTTTAAAATATTCCATTTTGGCCACCTTTTTGTAAAATTTTATAATGGATGCTTTGTAAATAAAGGTACATTTAGCTCCATTATTCCATTTTCCATATATATGGCAATTTTATGGGTGACTTTTGGGACATCTTGTATATCTTATATATATATATATATATATATATATGTACATAACAGAATGCATCTTAAAAACAGACAAGCTGTACTTCTAGCATTTATGACAAGCTAAGTTGATGTAGGATAATTTCTTATCCCTCGATTAATATGTAGAAATGTTGACAAAATATCTGGAAATAAAATTAAATGTATAGTTTAGGTTTACAGACAAGAAAGAAAAATTTCCAGGTGCTAAAAAGAAAGAGGGGTCCCTAGAGAAAAGACAATGGTAACCTTGTAACCTAAGGTTATAACCAAATGGCCATATGCTTTAGGGCTGGAGTTTTAACACTTCGGCAGGATGCAGACATGTAAAATAAGATGGGAGTAAGAGTAACTAAATCAGCTTTCTAAGTACATGTGAGACTGCTGGCACTTACTATACAATACAGAGAACTCAGAAGCTTAACATAAAAGCTGGTCACAAATAGTGAAATCCCACAGGGTGTTGAACAGGCAGCTATGAAGGTATTCACCCCACAGAGACATCCCCACAATCTAGGACATATGACCCCAGAGAGGGTCATTCATATCCAGATGGGCTCATAGGCACCAATTCTAAAGCCTCCAACCCACCAGGGACAGTGGTCCAAGCACTGAAAGTAGAAATGATAGTTTGTAAATTATAGATAACCAAACTGTGTAAATGGGTTTTAAAATAATTGTATTTAAAATATTCAAAAAGGGAAGGACTGAAATCTATCTGGCAAGGACAAGACATATAGGAGAAAAAAGAGTAGGGAGGACTTAGAAATCGGATTTTAGAACTGGAAGTAATCTTAGAGATGGCGTTTGTACATGCTATCACATGTATTACAGAAAGGTAGTCTTACAGATGGCGTTTATATGCGCTATCACATGTATTACAGAGAGTATGCATATATGCAAATATACCTACATATATTCATAAAAAATAAAAGGTCTAAAAAATCTAGTCATTTTCTTTTATTCATATCTCAAGCAAAATCTGACTCGTTTTTTGATTTTTCAAAATTTTAATCTCCGTTATTCACCTGGGTTAGAACCAAAGTTATCCTGTAGAAAGTGCATTATGCAAAATTTATTGGACACTTTTTGAGTTTTTCAACTTCTAAGTTCCTTAAAAAGAAATAATGGCCGGCATGTGCTTGACTTAATGCATTTGAGGAAGACATTAATACACATTTAGAGGAAAATATCACTTTACTTAGAAAATTACATGGATTAATGTTTTCCTGCCTCCCAGCTGGCTGGAATTCCACCATCTCATCTTTTTTTATACAACTAGTCTCCACGTTAAAAAAAAAATGCATTCAGAAATTTTAATATGATTTTCACTTTCTCTTTGACTGTCATATATAAGTAAATTTGTATGAAAAATTTATAATTCAAGTAAAGTACTTAACCCTTCTAATTTTAGTAAAGAATAAATTTTCTAGACTATCCTAGACTAGAAAATATACTAAAGACTATATATTCCAATTCTAGTAAAGACTATATTTTAGCATTTTTGGAAATGTTTCATGAGACAAGCTCAAAGGTATTTGAACAAAGGGAAAGCAGTGTGAACCTAACCTTGTAATAGGATACTTCTATACAGCCTTGTGAGATGAAATGACTAGAGGCAGGAATTATCTTTATGTCCTAGAATCACCTCTTTGTTTAAAAATTCTAAATACTCACACTTCTATTAAAAGTAGTCTTTCCAAGATATTTCAGTGGTAAACTGACATCCCTAGACTTTGAACATCTTTAACAGTCAAATAAATGAGTGCAAAGCCGTTTATACCATCGTTGATGAGCTCTGTGTCCGTTTTAAGTTCGTGTTCTCCTGCGAATCATGTTGGCAGATGCTCAAGCACTCTGTTGTGCATGCACGATGGAGACCGCTTCACACTTTCCATCCAGTGCTGCCCATCAGATGCCCATTTTGTCTACATGGGTCATTTATTCTTTCCCCACTTTGCTGTCAAATGCCAAAAACGTGCCAACTGTCATCACGGGTTTTGTCTAAGTGACCTGGATGGAGGTCATTCATTTATGTCACGCAAGGTACTGGATAAACTTATTAATTGCAGATTCAAACAACTGACCTTTGTGGTTCATGATAAAGACATTAAAATACTACTGACCATCCATGTGCCTTGACGGGGGGCATTTCAGGACATAATTATCCCTTACTTATTTGTTTCAAGTTAGCCTGGCTCTCAAAAAATGTTTCTGTTAGGAAGAATAATTCTAAGCTCAGGCTGAATGTGCCCCCCAGTGAGATATTTGGACAACTAACCATTGATGCTGTAGAACGTGGTTGGTGAAAGAAGAAGTGGAAGAAGCGAGACTTGAATGTGGTCATTTACATCCTTAAGGTCGTTTTCATTTTTTAATTGTCTTAACTGTGAAAACACAAGCAAATAAACAGTGGTCTCCTGGTTATAGAAAACTTTAGGAGGCTGAGCCTACCCACTACACACGTGTTTTCTCTCCCAAGCAGAACTTTAAGGGAAGGTCTTAGGACTCACTGAACAGTTGTAAAGGGCTGAGCCTTCCCTAATTGTGGGATGCTGTTAAGGGCAATGGATTAGCTATTAGTCTTTTGGGGAGGCGAAGCATAGAAACCAAGAAGGTGTTTTATGAAGAAGGGTTATCAGCCAAATGAAATCACTTCGATAAGTATCTTTGTTTTACTGACTACAATTTTTTCCTTACCAAAAATATTAACAGGGAACCATGTAATACAAATGTATGTAGTCATCACGGGGGGTGACAATGTTCTTTTAGATACGTGTTATCAGCCACTGGGAGGGAAAATGAGGCATCACATCCATAGGCTTTTCCTTCCAGTAAGAGTCTAGGAGCACCTGTCACTTTAGAACAAGAGGAACAATATCCAGAGTCCTTTCTTCTTGCTCACATAGTCTCCCTTCTCTAAAATAAAGTTCTGAAAAAAATTAAGGAACTTTGTCTCGAAGTGTATGAGTGAATATCGTATTTCTTGATCTTAAATATTTTTAAAGGATAATAGTCAGAAAATGTATATTTGGTTGTTATCCCAAACAACATGGAATAGATCATTTTTTAAAGCTTAATGGATAATATATAGAAACCTGCCCATATAGCACCAAATAGCACCCCTCCAAATACCACCATCACTACCACACGGAAACAGACCATTATATATAACATTGCTGCTTTTCTTTGTTTACAGGAAACTAGCTTCTTCATAGAACACTTACAAAGCATAAGTATTATTCTAAAGTGTTAGCTGACCAGATCTGAGGAATTCAGTTATCTAGCTTAACAAATATATTTTATCCAATGATACTTATAGGTGAGTATCTGCGCTACATTATTAATACATCATTTGTGAATGAGCTCTGTCAGGACATAAGATATTATACAAAGCACCCAAGTCTATGTCTTGGGTAATTTGAATTCTAGTTTTGGCTTTGTCAAACTAGCTGCGGCATCTTGAGCAAATCTTTT